TATAAATATTTGCAAAGAAATGTGCAATATGTGCACTTATATGCTTATGTTGTTAAATGTGACTTTTTCTTTTACACCCCACATCATTCACAGACTATAAAATTGACACCGAGTTGTAAAAGTTGGAAATACTGCCACCCGCAGGTTGGAGGTAGAAGTCGTGTAAACCCAATGGGTTTGACCACATCTGAGGAAAAATTTCCACAAACTCACAGTCATGCGTTAGTTTGAAAAAATGTGGGAGTCTGTTGATTTTGTGTGAATTTCTGCGATCACAAAAAAAAAAAAAAAGAGTCCAATGATTACACATGTCTCCATCAGGTTCATCTACAGGAGCCCATCATACTCTTTAGATTCCTGTGCCTCATCTGGGGATACGGCAGTAACCGCGGAGACCAGCTGGACGTGAAGGTGGGCGCCGTCCTGCAGACCAGAGCGCTGTACATGGGCCGGGCTCTGATGGAGGTCCAGCCGGCCTCCATCCTGAACGAGCTGGCAGCTCCGGACTCACCAGGTGAGGAGCGGTTGCTCTGCAGGTCTGATTTTTTTGGGGGGTCTCTACTGGGACTTCATCTGCTCTCTTTGTGTCTCCTTGCCCCAGTCGTCATGTCCTTGGTATGCTGTCTCAGATCTCCGGTTCAGGAAGTCCGGAGGGCCGCCCTCAGCACCTTGCAGAGCCTATCGGGAGCCAGCAGCTCCCCCTTCCGCCCAATCATAGAGAGGCTGCAGAAAACCTCAGAGGAGATCATCACTGACGCGTCGTATCTGAGCACGGTGAGCTTTTCCGTCTCTAAACGCGGCATGCTCAGGATTCGTACAAGATCCTTGAAAACTTGACAAGGATTTTCAAGGTTTGGAACGTGCTGTATTTCTGTATGTAGTCCTTGAAGGTGCTTGGCATTGTTAGCTGGAATAAAGCTGAAATAATCTTCTGGGAGGAAAGACTCCTCACTGAAAGTCAAGTTATTATTGTGTTATGACATTTAAAGTGAACAGAAAGGTCATTTACCTTAGCAAAAATGGATTTGTTCAGCGTAACAAACATTTGTTATTTCTAATTGCTCAGTGAGTTCTTGATCTCTGTGACCGAAATAAAGGTGGTTTTAGGTTTTAGACGTTAAAATTAGTTGAAATGTGAGGATTATTTCTTTGCTGTACGAGTGTTTTGTTCTCAGACCAGTCAGTGTACAGGGTGTGTGTGACAGAGAATTTTCAAAACGTTTTCCCTATCGTAAGACATTAATAATAACAGTAACAGATGTCATATAACAGTGCATGAAACCATGTGGTCCCTGGAAAAGTTTAAAAACTTACCTTGAAAATGCCTGAAAAGTGCGTTTGTGGGGAAAAGTGTGCGATCAGACTGAACCTGCTCCTTAACTTGTCTAACTCAGTAATGAGTATTTGTCGCCTTCAGGTTCTCGGCGTTCTTCATGACGAGTCTTCGTCCGGCAAAGCGAAGTCGCGACAGGGGAAGCTGCAGGACGCGCTGCAGCAGCTGCTGAACTCCCGCTGCCCGACGTACACCGCCAGCACCCTGCTGGAGGCCCTAAGCTCCGTCAACGGAAAGGTGCGAATGTTTCCCACGCCCTTTATTTTATTTAGTTTTAATTTAATATCGTTTTATTTCACGTAGTTCTTATTTCCCGATCTTCCAGTCCGTCCTCTCCACCCTGCTTCCCACTCTGGAGCATCTCCTGGTGCAGACTTGCCCCGACACGTCGTCCCTGCTGCAGTCCGAAACCCAGCTTCTTCGGCTCGTACTTGGGAAGTTCAACGAGGCGTCGGCGCCCCTGCTGGCCGAGGACGAGAACTGCATGGATCTGTTCGTTAGAGCTCTGAAGTTGGACACCTGTCAGATCTTCGCTCTGGAACAGGTTGGGGGCCAGAACACTGCTGAATCCAAATTTCTCAGTTTGCTGAGACGGAAGACCATCGTGATTTTATTTGACGGTTTTATAGTTGAAAACTATATTCAAACCGAGTTTTATTCAAACCAAATAAAACAAGAATTTAAAAATCGTTCAATGTCCGTGTCTCCAGATCACAAAGCCGTTCTTCTCGGCCCTCGGAGACGAGAAGGCGCAGCAGAAGCTCCTGTCGGTGATGTTCGACCTGCTGGCGGAGGGCCGCAGCACGCTGGTGGCCAACACGGTCGGCAGCGTCTTCAAAGCGGTGAGAAAATCTAAAGGAAAAAGAAAAGTTAAAGCCGGCGTTCCGTTAAAAACTTTCAACGGTCGACGCTTTACCCATGTTTTTTAACAGATCGCCATCGATGCTCAGCTGGTCGCCAACGAGCTCGCTCCTCCAGACAGACCAAAAGTCAGCGTCACGGTCCAACAAACCCGCAGGAGCAGAATGGCTCAGAGGTACTCACCGTTTCTCTTCCTCACGTCAAGTGGGGTCCCCGTTTTTTTTTCCACACCATTATGATTAAATTAAAATGACGACCGTGGAGATCCATTCCAGTATTTAATGCCTTTTGATCTTATTTCAACCTGTTTTTATAGTAGATGCTTCATGTTGTGGGGCACCACAGAGCTGTCTGTTTGGACCTCTGTTTTTTGACTTCAGAGCTGCTTTTCTGATTTTTTTTTTTTTTTTTTGGTCTGGTCAGGAAACCTCAGGAGAGTGACAGTGTGTCTCCAGAGGGGGGCGCTGTGCCGTGGCAGAGAGTCACACTGATTCTGGAACTGCTGCAGCACAAGAAGAAGCTGAAGAGAGCCCAGGTGTTGGTGCCTGTTCTCTTCTCTCTTCTTTCCAGGTAACAAATAGCTGCTTCCTGTTTCGTGTTTTTAAATCATCATGAAATAAAATCTTTTAAGCAGAGCTCAAAATCTCCTTAGACCCCTTTTTCCAAATAGCAACAAATCTGGATAGGATGGAAAATGAACCAACGAATGATTACATCAAGCCTGTTTTACATTCTAGGGGAAATTTTACATGTTTATTATGTTTTTATTGTATCTGAAAGTAGTCCTATGTTAATTCTTTTGCCAGCTAGCAACAAAGTTACCAGTTTGCTTAAATAAGTCGCGCAATTTGTAAATAACTAGTGACAGAAATGCTGACATTGTTGGTATATTTCAAGTAAATTTTGTATTCCTACCTGAAAATGACAATATTTTGATTTATTTGGGTTCAGATTCCAGCTGATTCGTATGAAATAGAACAGGAGATGAAACTGAAATTGCTTGAAAATAAAACTTCAGGCTGTTGCATTTGGTTCCTGAAAAAATCGAGTAAACAACCAAAACCTAACGGGTAGAGTTTGACGAAAGGGGGGCGGAAATGGCACGCCCCTTCGCCAGGCTCTGATTGGTTACTTTATTGGTCTCACCAGGAGCCTGGAGCCAAGTGCAACCGATCAGACAAACATGGAGTACACCAAGCAGATGCTCCTCAGCTGCCTGCTAAACGTCTGCAACAGGCTGTCGCCCGACGGAGGCCCTCCAGCTGCAGGTGAGGAGGAGGAGGAAAAGGAGGCGGAGCTTCCAGTTTCCTGTCTGAACACAAGCTCACGTTTTGAATCCGTTCTCCGCAGACATCCTGGACGAAGAGAAGTTCAGCGTGGAGCTGGTGGTCCAGGTCATCAGGTCGTCCGACATGCCCCAGACTCACCACCACGCCCTGCTGCTGCTGGGCGCCACCGCCGCCATCTTCCCCGTAAGCTCCGCCTCCTCTGACAGGCGCATACCTGTTTAAATAAAGAACGTAAGAGAGCTTCCCGTGTCGCTCCCCCCAACCCCCTGCAGGAGAAAGTCCTCCACAACATCATGCCCATCTTTACCTTCATGGGAGCCAACATCCTGCGGCTGGACGACGCCTACAGCTTCAGAGTGATCGAGAAGACGATGCAGACGGTCGTCCCGGCTTTGGTCCGGGTGAGCTCGGTTAATTTACAGCGGAGATCGCCGCCGCCATTCCGCCGGCAGGAACGAAGAACCGAGTCTAACGCGGCGCTGATCTCTTCCCCCCGCAGGCCCACCGTCTCTCTGACGGCTCGTCCGCCCCCGTCATGGTTGCCGTGGTGACGAGGATCATGCACGTGTTCGCCGACGCGCTGCCTCACGTGCCCGAGCACCGGCGCCTGCCGGTCCTCGAGCAGCTGTTGACGGCGCTGGGCCCCGCCCACTTCCTGTGGATCCTTGTGCTGCTGCTGCTGAAGCTGCACGCCATACAGAGCGGCGGCGCCGGCGACAAGGTGACGCAGGCTCCCTCCGTTAACTTTAGGGAGATGTTCTGTGTGAGTTCCTGGATTTTTAAATGGGGTGTTTTTGTTTTTGTTTTGTTTTCCCGTGCAGGATGCAGCTCTGGAGAGCGACATGGACTTCTGGGTCTCCCTGTGCTGTCAGTTCGAGGTGAACCAGCAGCTCAACTCCCTCATCAGCATCCTCAACTTTCTGCTGCAGCTGCCAGACGATAAGGACGAAGGTGAGACCCAGGGAATTACAAAATCTGCTCCTGACCACGTCACTTCGGAATAATAATTCCTGCAGGCCTGAAACTAATTAATTGATTGGTTGTGATTAATTGACAACATTGGGAATTAGCTTAGCAATTGACCTATCATTAATTAGAGTGCATGGACTCAAAAAGAGACCATTTGCTGAAAGGAAAACATGTTTAGAACAGTAATAAAGCCAAATCTGTACAGAAACGATTTGGCTTTATTACATGTTGCTTTTAAGGTAAAAAAAAAAAAAAAACCTTCTTTGTCTGCAGATGTCTTCTACACAGAACTCCTTAAATGGCGTAGTTTTAGCTTTATCTGGTTCAAATGCAAACAGAAAGAAACATGCCAGCCCTACACTGTTTTTGTTAAGTCGAGCAGAAAAGCCTGAGCTTTTCAGATGTTGGCATTTGAAGTATTTGTTGTGTTGCAGCCGCAGCGAAGCCGGCGGTTCGCCGGCGAGCAGCCAAGAAGAAAGAGGACGAGCCGGAGGAAAAGACGGAGGACCTGATCTTCAGCGTGGAGACTCACAGCGGCAAAGAGCTGCGGCACTTTAAGTTCCTCTGCGTGTCCTTCATGGCTCAGCTGCTCGGCTCCAGCAGCTTCATCCAGAAGGTGGGAAGGAAGAATCCGCCGCCGCAGACGGGGAAGTCGGCATTTCTAAAACTTCCTTTCTGCTTTCAGGTCTCGGAGGAAGGCGACGACAGCAAAGCTTCTCTGCAGCAGCTGCAGCAGATGTGGGTACCTCTCGGGAACACAAGCAGGAATGCCAGCGAGAACGCTTCTCTGAGTACATTTGTGTGTGTGTGTGTGTGTGTGTGTGTGTGTCGCAGGCTGCTGGAGAAGATCCTGCGCTACATCCACTCTGTGGCTCGCTGCGTGGAGGACAATGCCGACAAGCCCACCGCCAAGTTCTGGAGAGTTCTGCTCAACAAGGCCTACGAAGTCCTGGACAAGGTCAGCGTCACGATAAAGACCTTCCCTCAGGGTTCAGACCTCAGAAATGCTTAACATTTCAATTAGGTATTTTCACGGTTTGGAGATTTCCGGATAAGGTGCTTCATATTCAAACTGCTGGGTTTGATTAGGATCTTTACACACACCTAACGTGTGTTCGCGCGTGTGAACCCTGCTCCCTTTAACACCCCGACTCCCCTCCAGGTGAACGCCCTGCTGCCCACAGACACCTTCATCACGGTGATGAAGGGGCTGATGGGAAACGAGTTGCCGTCGGTGCGGAGGAAGGCCATGGAGCTCCTTAACAACAAGCTGCACCACCGCACGCAGTGGGACGAGCAGCAGGTAACGTTTCCCGGTGTTGCCATCAAAACCCGTTGTCAATTATAACTTAGTTTGAACTTGCGTTAGACCCTTAAAAGACAAGCATTGATTCAAGCAGAAAACAAATCTTCCAGAGACTAAATGATGCAGAGAAGGTCTGGGGAAGTTTTTTTTATTTTTTATTACACATTGAAAGCGTCAAATAAAACCAATTAATACACATACATTGTACAATCACAGAGCAGAAAAAGCCACTAACACTGCAACAGAGTTTCATTTACAATTATTGGAACTAAAACTGATTGATTTTAGTGTACTGACAATCAGAGGTCCAATAAAACTGCTACTCTGGCAATTAATTCATAAATTTCTTGTTCTGACCCCGGAGTTTCTTTGCGCTCGTCTCAGGTGGCGTCGCTCCTACAGCTGACCTCTGACCTGCTGAGCATCGTCGGGAAGAGTCCCAGCAAGTCGTCCGAGGAGGCGGAGCAGGCCATCAACCGGCAGACGGCGCTCTACAGCCTCAAGCTGCTCTGTCGCACTTTTGGCTCCGCCCACAAAGACGTCTTCGTCCCCGTCCTGCAGCAGGCCGTGGACATCGTCACGGCGACGGCGGAGGACAAGAACGTGACGGGCAGCGCCCTGCTCTGCATCGCCGAGGTGGTCAGCGCGCTCAAGACCCTCGCCATCGCTCAGTTACCCAGGTAACGGGGTCGCGCCAACAGGCCGGCTCGGTGTTTCTCCAGCCCGCCGCTCACTCTCGCCGCCCTTCGCCCCCGGCAGGTTGATGCCCGCTGTCCTGCACATGCTCAACGACAAGAAGGAGCTGCTGACCAACGAGATCTACCTGCTCAGCGCCGTCACGGCCCTGCAGCGTGTCACCGAGACGCTGGTGCACTTCGTCAGCCCGTACCTGCAGGACATCGTGTTTCAGGTATGTCGCCCGGAGCCTGGCCGTCCCGATTGGAGCAGTGACTTTCACCTTCCTACTTCCTGTTTCTGCAGGTGTGCCACTTGACCCGCCTCACAGAGAGCTCGTCTTCTTCAACCTCATCGTCGTCATCGCCACGTTCCCAGCTCTGCCTTCGTCTGTCGTCCCTGAGGAACACGTTGGCCACCAACCTGCCCCCCAGGGTCCTGCTGCCCACCGTATCCAGGTGTTACAGCTGCATGGTGGAGGACAGGAAGGTGAGTGGCTCAACACTTTTTTTTCCCTTTTGTTCAGTGAGAAATCTAGAAAATATTTCGGCTTTTCCAATAAAAAATTTGTTGTTTTTGTTTTTTTAATTGAGAAAAAAAAAAATTTAATAAATTTCATAAATACAAAGAAAAAACTAGGAAAAGGACACAGAATGTGAAATAAAGTGTGCCAGGGGCTTCTACAAAAAAATATTGGTACAAAAAAAAAAAAAATTTTCCGGCTGCATTTGTATTTTTTTTTCCCATGAAAATCAAAAATTAAATGCTCAAACTTTATAGTGAAAATTTAGCATCAGGGTTACAAATGATAAAGTTATTACATGTTCCAACTTACAGCTGGGTTCTACTGTTTTAATACATTTAATCATTTATTATATTCTGAACTCTTCACATCATATTTTTTTCCACTGAGTTTTTTTTGTTCCAATAGAAAGCAGCTGAAGATAGAGAAATAACATCTTGTCGATAGATCATTTTGATATCTTTACAAGTGGAAGAACAAACAAACTTTGCCAACAGTGGATAAAAAGTTTCATCTCTGTGCTGCTCCGTTTCCCTGCAGGGCCAGCTGGCGGCGCTGATGAGCATCCTACAGGAGCACATCGGCCACATGGAGCGAGAGCAGCTCAGCGCCCACCAATCAGAACTCACCACTTTCTTCCTGACTTCCCTGGACTTCCGGGCCGAACACTGCCAGGTGAGCTGAAGCAGAATCGGTTCCCCACGGACCCGACTCGGGTCAGTTCGGACCTGACTGGCTCTCCTCCTCGCATCAGGGCGACCTGGAGAAGGCGTGGCAGGTCGAGGGCGGAGTCATCGACTGTCTGATCGCCATGGTGATGAAGCTGTCGGAAGTCACGTTCAGGCCGCTCTTCTTCAAGGTGACGTTCGCGTCGATCCTGAGGTTCGACCAGCATTTTCTGCGGAAGCAGAAATCGACTGAGGCCGTTTGTTTGTCTGCCGCAGCTCTTCGATTGGACTAAATCGGACAGCAGAGACCGTCTGCTGACGTTTTACCGCCTCTGCGACCGCATCGCCGAGCGCCTCAAGGGACTCTTCGTGCTTTTCGCGGGAAACCTGGTGAAGCCTCTGGCAGACGTGCTGAGACAGACCAACAGCTCTAAAACAGGTTCCTGATCCAGATAGAAAACATGACTTACTTTTATTAAAATATAATCATCTTTTCACACTTGAACTAATTTATTTCTCTATATGAGGTAAACTGTCTCTTGTAATAGTAGATAGAATAAACTTTACTGTTCAGAATTAAATAGTAACATATTTTTATTTTTCTCTGATTGAACTTTAATAATAGGTTAAAAGTGTATTTTATTCACTATGCCTTTTTTTTTTACATTTAAATTTAGGATGTTTTGTTTTTTCAGTTGTATGGCATGATGTCACTGTAGCTGTTATCACAAAAGATTTAGTTAAATATTCCTAATTTGATTATATTCATAGAAAGTTTGGGGCTGGGCAATATGGCTTAACGTTATAAGCATAAAATTAGGACTTTATTCTTCTAATATTGCAACTTTTTTCTGATAAATAAGAATCAAAAAACTAAAATCGTACCCTGGCCCTAATATTCCGTTATAAAGTTGATCTGAATTCAAAGTCCAAATAATTAGAAGCTGTAAAATATGCTACCAAGGGCGCGCTGACATCACTCTGAACTACGGAAACAAAAGGAGCACATTGGTGATAAAAAAAAAATAAAAATTTCCATAACTAAAATCTAAAACTTTGATTTATTGATAAAATCCATTTATCAGCTAGCCCTAATTTAATAGAATATGTATCACTTTATTTGTAAGACATAATAGTAATTACAATTTCTATTATCTATTGGCAGCTGACGTATTTCAATTTTTTTAAAACAGTTTTTTATTCTTAGTTTAGGAATTGTTTTGAACATTTCACTTTTATTTTGCCAGTTTTTATGAGCTACAAATTTCAGGCTTTAGCAATAATGTAATAATAATCGTTTTATAAATGTTTTGCACCTGGTAGATGACGCTGACCTTTGACCTCCCGTCTCTTCCAGATGAGCTCGTCTTTGACTCGGATCGCTCGGAGGAGAAGAACTGCCTGCTGCTTCGGTTGGTGCTCGACGTTCTCCAGAAGATCTCCCTGTACGACACGCAGAAGTTCCTGAGCCGAGAGCGGGCCGACGCCCTGCTGGGCCCGCTGGTGGACCAGGTGAGACGCAGCTCCATGTTCCAGAGCTCGGAACCTGAACGAACGCGATCCGAAGGTTCCCCATTACGTGTCTCTGTGTGCAGCTGGAGAACGCCCTGGGCGGGCCGCAGGTCTACCAGAACCGGGTCGTCCAGCATCTGGTTCCCTGCGTGGGTCAGTTCGCCGTGGCGATGGCCGACGACTCTCAGTGGAAAACCCTCAACTATCAGATCCTGCTCAAGACGAGACACAGCGACTCCAAGGTGAGCTCAACTTTGAGTTCCGCCTGCGAGTAACGGATATTTTAGTCATGGATTAAGCGATACGCCAGTTGATTGATCGATTAATCAATCGATTCTTCAAGTCAAGAACTGATTCATCACCATTAATCGTTTCATCCCTGAGCACCGCCTTCCAGGCTGTTGATCCTGAATCCGAATATCCTCTCTTCGTCTGCAGGTGCGCTTCTCCTCCCTCCTCATGCTGATGGAGCTGGCGTCCAGACTGAAGGAAAACTACGTGGTTCTGCTGCCCGAGACCATCCCGTTCCTGGCCGAGCTCATGGAGGGTGAGGACTTGCGTAATTGACTTGGTTCTCAGTTGGTCTCCGCTTAAAAATCAGGGTCATTTCAGTGTAAGCTTCCTGTGTGTGTGTGTTTCTGCTGATATCGTGATTAATGGCGTGTGCATCCGTTTGCTTTGCAGATGAATGTGAGGAAGTGGAGCAGCAGGTCCAGAAGGTCATCCAGGAGATGGAGAACATCTTGGGAGAGCCACTGCAGAGCTACTTCTAGTCCGATACAATACCACATGGAACACGTTTCAAAGAGCGACACGGGAAACACCGTTTTCCCCTCCAACTGATCCTCTTAAAGTAAAATATTAGTTTTTATACGAGGAAAATAAACGTTTTAATTGAAATCACGTTTGTCTGCTTCCATTTTTAACAATGACGAGGAAACTGAGCGTAACATTTAAACCGTAATGCAGCGACTAACTTGCAGGCGTTGCTATGGAGTCCAGTGAGCAGTGGTGACGCCTGCTCGGTATAGTTTTCCAGTTTGGTGGGAACATGAGTTGGAATCTTTGTTTTTGTTGTAGTTGTTTTTTCTTAGGGGGTTTCTGATGTAATGGAAAATTTTAGAATGTGCACCTCATCCCCTCTTCTGCTTTAGGTATTTCTGCATAGTCTTATCATGAGATTGGTCAAGCTGCTCTCAACACCTCTGCAGTGTCATGTAACAGCAGGGGAGAGCTCCTTGTTCCTGGAGACTATCTAAGTGTTACTTCCCCAACGTAGAACTTATCTGCCTCTTTAGCATGAAAGAACAACCCCCCTTTCCTTAACAATAGACAAATGGCCGGACCATCTGTGTTGGGCTCCACAGAATCCCTGGTACATCACAATCAGGGATTCACACCTATAGTTCAATCTAGTCTCAAATGGCTGACCAGAACCTAGAAAAGGAAGGCAGAGTCACTGTTTCTTCTCATCCAGACTCTTGTTAAAGAGCCACAACACTGGCTTAATAAAAACCCATTGTTCACTTCTCAAATCCAGTTTAAACCCTTGCTGGCATTTGAAAGGTTGGCACTGCGTTAACCTTTCAACCAGAAAATGGATGGACATCCATCCATTTTCTTTACATCCTTGTCCCTTAGTGGGGCCGGGAGGGGTGCTGGTGCCCATCTCCAGCTAACGTTCCGGGTGAGAAGTGGGGTCACCCTGGACAGGTCGCCAGTCTGTCGCAGGGCAACACAGAGACTCACAAGACAAACAACCATGCACACTCACACCGAGGGGCAGTTTGGAGAGGCCAATACAGTCATGTTTTTGGACTGTGGGAGGAAACCGGAGTACCCGGAGAAAACCAACACATGCACAGGGAGAACATGCAAACTGGATATTTACTAATAATACAGTCCCACTTCAAAGCGAAACCCTCCCAACCCCCCAAAAAAGAAACAGTTTCATTGTTTAAAAAAAAAAAAAAAACATTTGCATGATTTGGGGCCCAAAGTGTTTTTTGCAATTTGTGTAGGAAAATGTCCTATTCATTTGTAGATCACGTTATAACTGGGGAGGGATGCTCTGTGTCCTCACAATGTGTTTTCTGCTGTTCAGAACATTCCCAAGCTTGCCACCAAGAAGCAACTTGTGTATTTTCTGGGTATGACCTTTTGTTGCAGAAATTTTATCTTAACGACTCAATCTTTGAACCCCCCCTAGGAATCCTCGTTCATGGTGAGGGCCTGTATGCTTTTGACTTGGGTTCTTGTACCCCTGAAGCTGCAAAACAAACAAAAAAACAACTTGTTTTTGCCTCTCGTGGCATTGTTGGTTGCAGCCTGCTCACCCTTGTTCTTTATTTGGCTTCAATCACCTTTTTGGAGCAAAAAACCTCATCATTTGGCAGCGCATTGGCCCAGACACATATTTGTCCTCTTGGACATCACCAGCAACACTCGAGCACAGTACAGTTTCAATTGTTGCGATACTTCTCCCCACACCTGAACATAGAGACCCTAACTGTTGTGGTGCTGCTGCTTTTGAGCAGATTTGCACTTCCAGGACTGTCATTTCATTTCCGATTCACTCTTCAAAACCCTGATCTTGTTCCCTATGAAGGATGTCTCTGCCTCTTGTGATACTAAAAAAACTTTAAAAAAAAAAAAAAGATTGAAAGGAATGATTTTCACATGGCATTCTGACCTTTGGTTCTCAATGCCTCTTTACTTCTCTGTGCAAATGGCTGAAGTTATTTCTCTTGTTGAAGCTTGCAAACTTTCCACAGTCATGATAATCTGCAGTTTCATGTTATCCATTTAGAGTTGTGCATTTTTTTTAAATCACTGGAAAATGGAAGAGTAGATTCTAATGCAAAAGAAACAGCCAGAGCCCCTTTAGCCTAACCCCCTGCTGCTTTGTGTCCTTTACAGTCCTTTGTTTCCACAGGTGAGAAGTTGTCTGTAGCAGATTTCAGGCGCAGCTGTCTCAGATGGTGTGAAGATGCCCTGATGTTGAACTATTTTTTCCTTAACCATTTCTTTTTTTTATTTTACCAAATGGACACACATTTGTAGTTCCCTTTTAAGGGAACAGGCCGCTCCCCTCCACTGCGGTTTGTGACTATGCAATGTTATCCTACTGTAAAACCTCTCCACTGTTTTTTAAGTCGTATTTAGGCTGTGAAAGCTGCACACTCGACCCCTGCGACTTGACGATGGTGAAGAAGAAACCTTAGCGAACACTGGTGACTTGGCAAGGAACTTTCCAAGGGCTTTTTGTGACTCAGGCTGCTGAAGGAGCCATCTGGATCCATACAAGCCAGTGCAGATGACCTCCAACCCGACGTCAGCCATCCTGATTACAGCAAGAGAGTAGGTAGTGGAAAAACTTCACTCCAACGGTGTGTTCGAGTGCTAGAAACCTCTGACAGCACAGAAAGAAGAGATCCGGAAAAGATCCCTTTCGACACCCTGCCAGATCCCAAGAAGAGCTGTCGGCAGGAGCTCATTTGCAAGGCCTGCACAAGCTTCATCAGCGTCATCTTCCTTCAATGAGGGCTGTGGTTGCTGCTGCCACTGCTCCTGCCAGAGACATGCTCCAATTTTCATGAAACAAAGATACTTGCTTTTCTGAGAATGGAAAACAAATTGTCAGTAGTTTTCTTGCATGGTTTCAAACCCCCTCTCCTGGGCACCTCAAGAAAGAAAGGGGGGGGGGGGGGAAAGCTATCTATGCTGGCTTATTGTGACTGATCTTCAACCTGTAATGACTTACTTTATCTGAGTCTTCTTTGTGAAGTACATACAATTGTGTATTGACATTTTCATGTATTATCTCAATTTTCATGATCTTTTGTGTGGTTAATATGAACAATGTTTATCATAATCAAAAGAAGGGAATGTAATGGAAAATTTTATAATGTGCACCTCATCCCCTCTTCTGCTTTAGGTATTTCTGCATAGTCTTATCATGAGATTGGTCAAGCTGCTCTCAAGACCTCTGCAGTGTCAGCAGGGGAGAGCTCCTTGTTCCTGAAGACTATCTAAGTGTTACTTCCCCAACATAGAACTTATCTGCCTCTTTAGCATGAAAGAACAACCCCCTTTCCTTAACAATAGACAAATTGCCGGACCATCTGTGTTGGGCTCCACAGAATCCCTGGTACATCACAATCAGGGATTCATAGTTCGGTCAAGTCTCTCTTCTCTGACCAGAACTTATAAAAGGAAGCCAGATCCACTGTTAGTCAGAGCAGACTTGACAGACTCCTTTGACTCTGTATTTCTGTCACTATTTTACGACAACTTTTTATTTCTAATAGACAACGTACGTACAAAGTTTCCGTAGCGATGGTCTATGAATAAAACTGAGGTTTTATCATCCTCTGAATTCAGGTTACACTTCAACGGTTTAATAATTTTAACTCATAATTCTGACTTTGTCCTTAGTTTTGCTGATCTGTTTTCTGACAATGAATTTCAAATCTTTTTGTGATGCCATATGATCAAAAACTTGAATAGTTTATAGTGGAAATAAGCTACCCTAATAGCTTGGAAAATGAGCTCATAGTCAGCAAATTGAATAAATTCATGCTTAGAATAGTTTGAAAAAAAAATTGGGTTTGAAATTTAACAATTTAACAAGAGTGTGACATCTATGTCACAAACTATATTTGTCTTCGTCGTATTGTATTTGCAGAAACACGACCGAGTTTGCGCTTTTAGCAGCAAACTTTACTGACGTATAATTCTCCAACCTTGTCAACAGGAGTCTAGGCAGTTAGGAGAAGGTTAACAGTTCAAGAACACTGAATGTACTTTATACGCTTTGTACCTGGGGAAACTTTCATCTTAGTAAGTGTTTTTTTTTTTAAGATACTTAGGCGTTTTTTATTTGGTGGATAAATGCAGAGCAGTGTACATAACTTTCGGGTGTAGCATGAAGAGGAGTGTAATGTATTTCTCTTAATATTTCAGTTACAGAAACGTTTTTAGCGTACCATTAAAGTGTGTGCGCGTGTTAGCTCGTGATGTATTTCCCCTTCTGACGCCTAAAAATCTCAATTTTACATGACGACGTTTAGAACGTTCGTTAATTAAATGAGATTGTGACGCGCTTGTTACGTCAGAGCGGTCAAGCCCCCTGGAGTCTCCTCCTGTCCCTCTGACGTCATACAGAGTTTATGAGCAGCTCGCGGGGTTCCGCACCCACCATCCGTCTGTCGGCATGAAGGGCGCGCGCACCCTGCAGCAGCTCTCGCTAACCGTGAAGCGGAGCCTTCATCATCATCCTCCTCCTCCTCTGCAGCGTTCCGTGGGAATTATCGGAGCGCCTTTCTCCAAGGGCCAGGTGAGAGCGCGTGCACTGGCCAGGAGTGTGTGTGTCTGTTGACCAGTGCGTGTAGTGAGCCTCCGCGTGTGTTGCAGTCCAAGGATGGAGTGGAGTGCGCCCCGAGCAAGTTACGAGCAGCAGGACTCCTGGACCGTCTACGGCAACAGGGTGAGAACTTTAAATATTAGAAAAATTAAGTGCTAAAAAGCACAATTGTTATATTTATTCCTCGCTAATTAGCTAAAGATTCATAAAACATTCGATTAATATAATATAATATAATATAACAACAACACACTACTAAGCATGACGGCACGCGATTAAATCTTGACAGTAACACTACAATTTATGTTTAACTTAAATATTTACACAAACTTAATAAGTTTATGAATTCTTCCAAGCAAATGTATCAATGTTTCTTGGTTGGAAATAATAATAATAATAATAATAATAATAATAATAATAATAATAATAATAATAATAATAATAAACAATAAAAACAAGGTTTTATACAGAAAAATCCTATATCTTTATTATTAATTAATTTGATTTTAAAATGTTACTTATTGCACTTTTTGTAATTTTTACTTTACTATTTAATTATACTTTTACTTACATTAATTTCCCTCTCACCTCCTGTTAGGTCCTTTTGTTATGTGTTTCTAAAACTCATCTTAGTGTTATTAATGTGAACATGTAAATATTACAGCTTCGCCTCCTGTGAGGTTAAACTTCTCTGTGAGGTTGAGTTCTGCTTTAACGCCTGCTGAGTTTAGGTTCAAGGTGAAATCAGATTGAAACTCCAGGAAAGTGAGTTCACTGTCCTTAGTGCTGATGGCGACATGGGTTGTCCTGTTTATATTCCCGTTATAGACAAACAGACGGCACCAGTGCAAAAAAAAAAAAAAAAAAAATTTCTGATGACTTGTCCCCAGATTTTTGTTTCACAATTTTTTTTTCATACCCAAAAACATTTTCCAAGAAAACCCCCCAAAACTGATCCATCTGAAAGTTGCCTGTTAAACAACACCTTTTTGTGACAGTGAGGCTCTGATTATATACAACAACATAAATATTGTGACGCAATTACAAGTCAGATGTATGGGGTTCCATTAGGTACAGCAAGAATGTGAAACATCTGAGTCCAAAATTTGAAGTTAGAGCTACAGTTTGGAGTAACAAGGAAGTTATTAACTGGTAAAAAGAAAAAAAAAATCCTCCCAGGTTTTGGTTAGTCTGCTGGAACATTTCAAACTCTGACCTCCATTCTCCGGTAAAATACTGAGTAACAGATGAATGTACAGTTTCACATCAGTCAGTGAATGCATCACTGTTTAAAGTAAATGTTTACAGTCATTCCAACGTTAATGTTTTCCCCAGGTACCTGTACCGAACCACACGCAGCCTTTGATTTTCATTGTTTCTTCTGCTGATACTCGTCCTGTTGAGGAGCTACAGAGGTCCTTTGTGAGAGGATGTTTAAACAGAAACCAAAAGACCTCCAGGGAGGACACTGAGCCCTGAACAGATGTGTCCTCTGATAGACATGTCCTCATATGATATGTCCTCAAAAGTTCAGTCTGACCGTCTAATGGTGACTCATTTCATACTGTTTATCCTCTGTTTACAGGAAACAGATCTGTGCTAATGTTCGCACAAAAGGAAACCGTTCTGAGAAGCAGATTCTCAACGTGACATGAATATTCAGAACACTTGATTCCTTCAGGTGACAAGAGAACCCGATGTTGACTCTGTGTGCTTAGGCTGTGCCGTGAAGGACTACGGGAACCTGACGTTTGAGAACGTTGCACTTGACGAGCCGGTCAATGGGTCAAAAAGTGTCCGGACGGTGGGAAGTGCCAACCAGAGGCTGTCGGAGGCGGTGAAGGCAGTGAAGAGGGATGGGCACACCGCCGTGATCCTTGGAGGAGACCACAGGTCAGCTCATAGAAACAATCGAGAGCAGAACCGCATCAGAACACAGCCAGTGGCTCGGAAAATTTTCATGAATTAAAATTAATTATTGTATGATCTAGTGTTTATTAGTGACAGGTTCCAATTGATTATGCAAACTAATCAACATACTTTAAGAGTTAATGTGTATTTTCATCTTCATGCATCAAGACTTGGTTTACAGTTCTTTAGATATGTCTGTATAGGACAGTTTGATGGTGAAACTTACTGTGGAAATGAAACACGCACATGCAATTAAAGCAGGTAACTTTTGAAACTATTAGTAGTGATTTCATTATTATATGTTGTTTCTCTTGAAAGAAAATATAAATGGTTTTGAAGGATTGAATTGATCCCATAGGGTTGCTAAAACTGTTTTCCGTCCTCAGTCTCGCCATTGGCTCCATCCACGGTCACACCGCAGCCGTCGGACCAGTGAGCGTCGTTTGGGTCGATGCCCACGCCGACATCAACACGCCGCTGACCTCAAACACAGGAAACATCCATGGGCAGCCCATGTCGTACCTCCTGTACGAGTTGCAGTCGAAGGTGAGCGTAGCCCTGCCCGTCCATCCGAAATCACACCCGCAACACAGAATGCTTCAGATGTTCTTCTTCTTCACCTCAGCTCCCCCCGTTACCAAACTTTTCCTGGATGAAGCCCTGTGTGTCGTCCCGGGATCTCGTCTACATCGGCCTGAGAGACGTGGATCCGGCGGAGTGGTGAGTACGGCTGCCAGAACGTCGGGAATTTAACTTAAAACACGTCTCTAAAACCTCAAGTCTTTCCCTTCACAGCTACATTATGAAGTTGTTGGCGGTGAAGGTGTTCTCCATGACACAGGTGGATCAGCTGGGCATGGCCAGAGTTATGGAGGAGACGTGCGATTACCTGTGGGACAGGTGAGTCTCACCTTGTGGACTTTCAGGCTCAGATGATCAGTGTCACCTGCAGGAATTGTCTGCGGATTTCTGTCCAAGTAGGAGTAGGAACCAAAACTACAGCACCATGTGGTACTGTCAGATAGTAACAGGATGTTTCTGTTCTGCAAACTAAATGTAAGGAGAGCAACAGGAGGTCAGGTGACCCTATTCGTGATTTCAAAAACTGTTTTCATTTATTTTTTCTCTGGGTTTTGTGTTTGAAGAACAAAGAAACCGATCCACCTGAGCTATGACATTGACGCCATCGACCCTTCCATTACCCCAGCAACAGGAACACCTGCGGTAGGAGGGCTCACCTACAGAGAGGGGGTTTACATCACAGAGTACCTCTATCAGACAGGTACAAGCAGTGCTTGCTGCCACCTATAGGCAGCAACAGTAACTCCACACATCAGTCCCTGTTGCATCACAGCACCTAACAGAACCAGTTGGTCCTCAGGTCTGCTCTCGGCTGTGGACATGGTGGAGGTGAACCCTCTGAGGGGACGAACGGAGGACGACGTCCGCTCTACCGTCAGCACGGCGGTTGACCTGCTGCTCGGATGTTTCGGACGTCGTCGGGAAGGAAACCACCTGCCAGATTATTCCCTGCCAGAGCCGTAACAAGGACAATTCCTGTCTGTCTGCCAGGAGCCCGAACGCATCACACCGAGAAATCCTTCACTATGAATGCAACTGCTGCTATGAGGCCTCGAGGTGGTCATCTTCCAGTTTTAAAAACTCAATCAGTTCACTCAATTTAAAAATGCACAAATTATGGCACATGTATAAACTTTTAATTATGTATTGTCGATTTATCGTTTTATCTATAAAAGGAGAAAAAAAAAATCCTGTGTTGTCTTGCAACTGATTTTTCACCTCCAAAAAGTGTTTGAAGCGAGGAAGAGAAACATTTGGTACAAGAACATTAAAATGTGTGCTAAAGTATTTTACATAAAAGCACAACCCTAAACCAAAAAATCTGCTTACTGACACAGAAAACCAACAAATATGAGACCTCTGAAAATATAATACACCAAAGGGATGCAAAGGTTACCACAAACAGAAACAAACCAGAAGTAATTACAAGAGTTTTTGAGCTTACAAAGAAAGCTCAAAACAGACTATAAAAAAAAAAAAAAACATAGAAAGAAACACTATCAGGATTTTATGTGATAGACCAGCACAGAATACTGACAGGCCAGGCAAGGAGAACATTAAACAAAGAAGACATTATTCCTATCTGTATGCATAAATAGGTTTATTTGCAACAAATGAGATGAAGCCTCCTGTCTGTGTTTGTGCAGAAATTTATATTTTATTCTGATCACTTCATGTGGAACGTTATCATCACGTTCTCGACATCATCTTAACATCACAGTTCTCTCAGAGATACACAAAAAGGATCACAGATTTTTCTTGTAAAATCACTTGGATGATTAAAAAAAATCAAATCAAATCAAATCATAACAACAGCTTACACACACACCTGATCTGCAGTAGCCTCACAGGGTTAACTTGGTGTATTCTGGTATTAAAGTTCACATAAAACAACCAGTATGGCAAGTTTGCTAAAAGTGTTATCTTCTGGAAAGAAAAATTAAGGCCTTTAAAATGTCTTAAATTCATTTTTAAAAGTAAGTAAGCCTTAAATACATCAATCAAATGTCTTAAATGTTGGCTTAGTAGGACTATTTACTTTCTATATTCCATATTTTTCTCGACAGGCCTTTAAGGCTACTGGTAACTCACTGCTAGCATAATCCTTTCTAGCTAGCTAGCTGCCTTCTTTGTGTCAACTGGTTAAATGCAAATTTATTGTGAGTAGGCTGGACGAAATTTGGATATTTCTGAGGAGCAATAGGTCTTAAATTCCATTCTAAAAGGTCTTTAATTTGAATTACTGAAAGAAACCCTGCATAGTTTCAGTTAATGAGCCAGTCAGAAGCAAAGGATGCTTGATATATAGACCAAATCAGGAATGTTTTCACTCAAACTGACCTAATAAGTAATAATATGGAAAAGATAAAAATCAAACAGGGTCATTTGAAATTATGTTAAAAAAGTTTTCAGAGTGCCAAAAATTTGAATTCCTACATTTTTTTTCATTAGATCATACAACATCAGCATCTTATCTTCACTGTAATCAGAACTCAAGTAGTGAGGTTTTTCTTTTATCTGTTCCTGCAGAGTCACTGACCTGCAGGCTGAACTGGTGGAAAACAGGAGTTTCACTGGGTCATAACAGTGGGTGGGTAAATGTTTTTCACTGACTGGCACACTAACATGATTCAAAGCTTCTTTAGATCTCAAACATCCAAAGTAAAGTACAAGAAGATGAGATAGAGTCAAAAACAGTCACGGATCTATAAAACCCCTAATAAAATTATTATTGGTTATTTTAAAGTTTACTGTTATTCAATGAGGAGTGTGCAAACTATTGGTGAGCAGTGGGCAGAGCTTAATCCATTCACGGATATGACTCTGCCGTTGCATTATGTAGTTTTTTCCATCAGTAACTAAAATGTCTGAGGTAAGCACATCATCAATGAGCTGAGAGGTTCTGCACTTACTCTGGAGTAGTTGTCAAGGTAACAGTCACAGAAGTTGAGGAGTTAAAGGAGTAGCAGGAGACATACGAGTGTTTCTGTCTGGAGTTGGTGATTCGTTCAGTGTCTAACGTAGAGAACAAACAGGAGGAACCCTCAATGTTCTGCCTCTGGAGTCATAAATACAGGAGTCGCCCCCTGCTGTCCGTTAGATAGAAGGTGCCCTCGGAAATTCCAAATGTTTTCTTTATTTATCCCAAACGGAGCAATTTTGCATCCAACTATCTATCAGCTCTGAGCAGATGGGATGTTTGATATTTTACTTGTTCTGGCATTAAAGGTTCAGTGTGTCTCAATTACTGACATCTGGTGGTCAAGGCGAGAATAGCACCCATGTCCAACATCAACCACCTGCTATCAGGGAAGTTGAACGAGTTCCCACACTAGATTCCCATGAGGCCAATACATGATAATGTTCTTAGGTTAATTGCAACCCTTAATACACTTTAACTAGTGTTAGCAGTGCCTTGTGACACAAGTAAAAAAAAAAAGATTCAGCAACTTGATACATTTAACTAAGCATCTTGTGACAAAATTTTTTGTAATGACCAAATTAATTTTAACACATGTTTGGATTGGACTGGATTGATTTGATGACATATTTCTGCATGTAATTTGGATCTGGTTGTTCAGGAAAATGCCTTCAAATGACATCAGTTGCAAATGGGAGCTGTATTAAATAGAACCTACACCGTCAGTTTCGGCTCTCTTCTCATGCTTTAGCTGCCTTCAAACCTGCAGCTACGCCCGACAGACAGGACAGCGCTCGGCGTTCTTTTTTCTAGACACACCTGAGGACCAGCTGAAACCTGAACATGCAATAAGGCAGCAGTTCCCTGATCTATTCACACACACACAAACACACGCACACACACACACACACACTGGGTAAAGTAAAAAGCATCAGATCAGAGGAGAAGCGTTCTGCTTCTCAGTAGGGAGCAGAAGAACAGGATGAGGAGGAGATAGACAAGAGTCAGTCGGCCCAGTGAAGCCCGCAGCGCCTCCTGAACTCCTGTCCCCGTTCGTGTATCCATTTGTTGGAAACTGCAGGAGAAAGTTTGCCTGAGCGTGTGGATGTTTATTCAGACAGACATCAGCTGCGTTTCCATTGCAAATGCGCGCTGGAACTTAGTCGATGTTCCGCTGATGTCGAGAAAACACAGTTTTGCAATTGCTGTGTTTCCATTTAATTAGAAATGCAATTAAAATCACACGTCAATAAGTTTGTTCACGCAATAAGTCATTATTGCGTGAACAAAAGTCATTACGCTGTGCCATTATCCTCCTACCACTTCCTGTCATCTTCTTTGTCGTTTCCGCCAGTAGTAACATCCAGCTGTTGATCACATGACTCGTGATGTGAAAATAGTGTTTTAATTACAATTTTGCCAAAGAACCATCTCATCTTAGGTCAAAATTTTTTAGCGCCAAATGTTTTTTCAAAATGGCATGCAAAAAACTGCTATTGTATTTATTTGAGAAGTAAATCCGAATTTATTTTCATAATTCCAATTTGAGCAATTATATGGACAACGGAAACGTAGCTGGGGGAAAAAAAAAAGTTTCCGGAGATGAGGCTGAACTCACCCCACTTGTTTCCCAGCAGCACCGGGCAGGCGGCGTGTCGGGTCCTGTAGTCCCCCTCTCCACTGGGATACAGGTTGAACCAGAACACTGCCGAGCCCTGCAGCGGCACGGTCACACGACCCAAAAGGTCAAGGCGAAGAAATGTACAATTAACCAGCAGAGGGCGCTATCAACTCACCTTTTTCGGTTGAACAGCAGCACCGATGTCGGTGAAGACAGTGGCGCCCCCTGCCTGCACGTCGCTCATCTGCTAGCAGGAAGGAGGAAAACAGTCAGCTGAGAGTCTGAGGGCAAAAACAGAAACGAGGGCTTCGTGGAAAACCGAGCAGAGGACTGACGTAGAGCAGCCAGGTAGCGATCCGGTTCCCGGTTCCCAACTCCTCGAACGCGTCCGGCTCATCTTTCTGCAACACAGACAGGGAACGTTCACACGGTCAGATTTGTACCGCTTTTTTTTTTTCTGCCGATTTGAAAAGCAGAACTTCGACTCGGCGGGAAATTTTATGTTTTTGATTGTTTATTCAATGTCACATGACTCTGTGTTTTTGTGTTTAATTATGTAAAGCACTTTGAAATGCCTTGCTGCTGAAATGTGCTATACAAATAAAATTTGATCGATTGATTGATTGATTGGTCAGTGACCTGCAACCAAACAGGTGGAAATAAGTCGATATTTCTTAGTGGTCAAACAAACACGCCGAGCTACAGCGAGCAATGAGCTGGGAGTTTCTGTTCATACGTACATCCACAGGTTGGCGATGAAAGAAAATATTTACCAATTTTCTTTTTACTGAGCTTAGATTCTAAAGCAGTTGAGATGTTCGCCTGTACTCAACAGTTTTCCATTACATTTGTGATTCTTCTGCATAAATCAACAGATTAGATAATGTCCACTTAACAGAAACATCAGAGATCCATGGTTATTATTAAAATGGGAAATAAAGGAATACTAAGAATGCATTCAAGTACTGACTAAATAAAATAGAGAAAAAATGAAATACAGTGATTCACATTTATTCATACAAAAATAAAAAAACACCTAGAAAACATTAATTAAATTTAATTAATGGTTCATACAAATAGGAAATAACAAAAAATAATAAATGATCATGTGTTTTTGCAATTGTATTATAATTATATCCAATAATACCATCATTGATATTGAAGTAAATATTTCTTAATATTTCTTAAATTACTTCAATAATATTTATTGAAGTAATTTAAAGAAGAAAATAAATAACCTAAATTAGATTAAGTTGTGGTTAATTTAAAAAGAAAACAAATAAATAAGTATTACATCTCTTTGCAATTTTTGAAATGTGTATTATTGTTTTTAATGATAAGAAGAAAACTTAAAAATCAGACTTCTTTCATTGTAACTATTTATTTTCCATGATTCAACTTGAAACTCTGGAAAGTTGGCTAAATTTTGGAAAGAGAAAGTTTTAATAATAATAATAATAATAATAATAATAATAATAATAATAATAATAATAGATCCTGCAGACAAACAAAAACTGATCATTAAAGAACTTCTGATTCTCCAGTTGACAATGTTTA